CGGCAGGAGGGCAGGGGCAGCGGTGGAGCAGCCGCGCTCCGCACGCGAGCTGGGCCCGGCAGCGCCGCCCTCCCGAGCCCTACTAAGTGCCTGTCACCAGAACTCGATTCCTTCCGCATCTCCTGCCGCGTCTGGTCATTCCTCGCTGCTTCCCGTCCGGGGGCAGCTCGTAGTTGCAGCGTGTGTAAGTGTTTGCAGGGTGAGGGAGGGCGGGAAGAAAAGGGGCCATCTCAACAGGTTCTGTTCTTAAATGTTCTTTTTCTTTCTTTCTTTCTTTTTTAAGTGAATGTATTGGATTGTTTAGAAACTTTCCCCACCTTGTTTTAAAGCGGGTTGATTTGAAAGCTGTGTCACGACGACAACCCCGCTACTGCTTCTCTCTGGAGATAACGATGTTCTTTTAATCCTATGATGATGATGTGTTTGTAGGGGAGGACCGTCCCCCCGCATCCACGGCATGCTGGTAATGCTCACTTGTACCAAGCCCTCTTGCACTATAATCGTACGTTGGACTCTTTAAAAAGGGCAAAAGATGTTTTGTTGGATTTTTTTTGATGTTGTTGTTGTTGCTTTTATTTTTTATTATTATTATTATAATTATTAAGGCAGGTAACCAGTAAGGCCTGTGCTTGAGGAGACTGCTCAGCCCAGGGAGCTTGGAGGTGACCGGGAGCCGCGCTAGGGCATAGGGCATTAGACCTACCGGGCAACCTCTGCCCTCCGCACGGGGCGTTACGGGGCCGCGGGTGCCCGGCGCCCCGGGGGGGCCCTCGAGCTCGGCCGCGGGTGTCGGGGAGCGCTGGGGGCCCAGCTCGAGCTCCCCCGTGGCCGCCAACGTTGCGATGCAGGTATCAAGTGAGACTTTTTTTTTTTCAATAAAACATTGCACTGCTGCATTGTTCTCCATGAAGAGATGTATTTATTGCCCTTTTTCCCAAACATATTAGAGGATATCTGCTTTTCCTCTGCTTCTCTGGGGATTCCTGCCATCCTGCGGGGAGCTCCAGCCCCCCGTTGAGGGGGGGTGGCTGGTACGGGAGCTTCTGAGCACTTTGTGCTTTAAAGCCACGGACAGCTCTGCCCTCCCCAGAGCTTTGCTAAGGAATGAGGGCACCAAACACTTCTCCTGCGTCTGCCCGTCCACACGTTCGAGCAGCCTGGGCAGCACATGCAGTGCCCAGGGCGGAGGGCGGCAGTGACCCGCACCGGTGTTGCCTCCAGTGCCTTCTTCCTCCAGGAGCCTATCCACGTGCCAGGAAAAGTCCTGTGTCCCCATCTGGGAATAGCTGGAAGGAACCGACTCCCCGCATTGCGAGGATTCCCAGCAAGCAAATAGACGCTGCTTGTTTATTCTCAGTACGGTCAAAGGACAGCAGGAAAGGAGATGCCGCCTGTTAGGCGAACAGAGCGTCTTGGAAAAGCTGCGCTTGCTCCCTCTAGGCAGGGAGAGCACCTGGAGCGTGCGCTCCGTGGAGAGTCACTCCTCGAAACCGCTCTGTGCCAGGATCTGCCTCACTGGGACACTTCTCTCCTTGGGTTTAGCCTTAAAGGTAATATTTTTAGCAGGAGCTTTAATTTCCTCTTCCCCAAAAGTGCTCTCAGGGCATGTGAGCTCTGAGAAGGAAGCGAAAGCTCAACATCCCTTGCCCTGGCCCTGGGAAATGTTCATCTCTACCAGGCCATTTTTCCAGCTGCAGACGATCAAGCGGGTGATGTTAAGGTGACATTAATAAGCCAGGAAGCCTAAACTGTATTATTTTTGGTAGAAGGGATAAGTAAACCCCAAGAGGAACCAAGGTGTGTGAACAGTATCCAGCCTCCATAGCCATGTGCTGTGTGCCTGCTGACATGGGCAAGAAGCAATGAGAAAGGAAGCATTTGCCAAGCTCCCTGTTTCCACAGCCCGCGCGGGGCTCGGATTCCTGCCCTCCTGGGGAGGAGGACAGCAGCCATCCGATACAGGGCTGGGGTAAGTGGCCGAGAAGCAAGCGTCCTCCTGCCGGGACTCGCGTGTTCAGGCTCTCCGGCTGTGCCAAAAGCCAGGAGCTTCACCGGGGTCAGGTGGCTGTAGCCTCCTCGTGTGCTGTGAGGAACCAGCTGGACGGACGGGGTTTCTCAAGGCGCGTTGAATTTGTGTGGTAGGTGCTTAACGCTCACCCACGTCTGTTGGAGGAGACGTAAAATAAAAAATTCCTTCCCCCATAATTAACTAACTCCGGTATTTGCAAACAGTTGTGCTGAGCTGGACACCAGCACGTGAAATAACGCGCAAACCCTTCTGTGAACCAAATCCAGTGTTCAGAGAAACTGCAGCCCCGCCGAGGAAGATCTTTCTCCCTTCTCACACCTTCCTTCAGCTTTTTCATAGTTCCCCCACGGCTCCTCATCATGTCCTAAGCCTTTTCTGGGCAAGAACCAAGGGGTTTTAGCGTCCCCACTGAGTATGGATGAGCCAGGAAGGGTGACAGGGCCAGTCCAGGCAGCTGGTTTCTGTCCCCTGAGCTGGGCACCCACCTGGCTGTCACGGCTCCTGAGCACCACTTGCAGCGTTTCTTTGTAACCAGTGGGCGCGGAGAGGCAGGGCAAAGCTTTAAAAGGGGCTCATCCTTCGGGGGATTCCGTTTAATTCTTTGTGCAGGAGTGGATGGGATGTTTCTTGCCAGTTTTATTTTATTTTTTACTGTAAAGTACATAAACCTCCACTGTGCACTCCTTTCTACCCGGTGTGGCTGTGTTGTTTCTTGCGGGCGGCTCCTCACGGCTACGGGGCGGCACCAACGCTCCCAACAGCGGCGCGAATCCCCGCAACGGCCGTAAC